GGATGAAACAGGGCTTGATACCTAATAATAATGTATATATATATATATATATATATATATATATATATATATATACAATAATATTGTATATAATATAATATTGATAATTATATATATATATATATATATATATATATGTATATATATACTGGTTAGAACTGAAATACAAATCTACAAATCAGACTAATGGCGGTAATCGAATGACAAAATAGAAAATCTCCAATGCGACGCTTTTCGTCCGTACTAATAATTGGAATTTTTTTTTTTTTGCATGTGTTTATTAATGAATCTAAAAGATATATGGAAGTGAAACTTACATATGATTCATACAATATATTGTTCACGTTTCTACTTTTTCGCTTTTAACATTATTACAGCAGTTTTTATGGCTTTCCGAAAATGTTCTTTGTTTTAATATCACGTCAGTTCAGTTCTGTGTCATGCGTGATACACGCTTAGGCGATCATGTACCTTTCGATACATGACTGACGAGGCAGATATTTTTCCTGCAGTAGGTTGTCATTTCTTTCTGCCCTCCAACCCGGTCAGTGCTGCTATTTAGCCATAGCTGGGGTGGGGAGAAGTAGAGGATTCATACCTTTTCTCAAGAGTATTAGCACGTAAATGAATATAATGAATTCAACTGGAATTGGAACCCGGTTCTCCGATTCCTCAATCCATTACTCCACCGTGACTCATCAAAAATATCATATACATCTCTTTTAATCAGAATCACAATTTTTTCAATTATTGTTCGATTCACACTCTTTTCCTGTCTTTTGAACCAGAGTAGAGTTTTATTCACTATTTCCAGATTATGATTGAGTTTACGGTTCCATCTCGTAAATTCTTCTCATTTTCTTTCACTCCTAGTATCCTCTTGTGTCTTGGTGGCATTATCCCCTTCCTTAGGCTGAAATGATTAAAAAAAATTGTTTAGACGGTTCTATTCCATCAAATTGTTTAAGGTAAGCTATAATCAACTTGTTAGAATGTGAAGAAGCATAACTATATTCTAAAATATGAATATGCTTGAACTATTATATATAAAATCCAACAGAGATCAACAGCTCTATGATTTAGTTTTTCACGCTGTCATAAACCGGAACATAGACAGACCATCATTGACAATTGCTGAAAATGTCGGCGACCAATGTATCGTCAATCGTCAAAAGCCACAATAGGTAATGATGAACACCCTTCCAATAACTTGGACCGATTTTAAAAGTGAATTAAATTTACGCATCTAATGATTTTTCTTTTTCTTTCAGATTTAACAACTTTTTTTTTTTTTTTGGCAATTTTATACATCGAAAGTGCAATTGGAAAAAATTGTTCGTAAATTCAAACAAAGTGGGTCGGTGGCATATGTGAAAACACCATTGCGTGCTGGTTTACGCCGTTAAGCTGAAAACATTGCTGCAACGAGAATGTGGCCGAAAATCCAGACACTTTTATTCGCCATCGTGCGCAGGAATTGAACCTCTTCACAACAATGTTACATCATTTCCAATTGCACTCTCGGTTGGTCAATTATGTCGAGCAAAAAAATGGCGAAATGGGCAAAATGTATTTCTGTTTGAACGTCCATTTTTGTAATAGGCTTCCATAGCTTTAACACGTTGTTTGATTGTTAACATTTCCATGGTTGAAATTGCCAAAGACTTAAGTTGTTATATCTGAAAGAAAATGAAAAAAAATCATTAGACGCTTCAAATTAATTAACATTTAAAATTGCTCCAAGTTATTGAAACACCCATTATATATATATATATATATATATATATATATATATATATATATATTGTAAAAAAAGAAAGAACAGTAAGATACATAATCCAGTGTTCTTACTGATATTTTTATTTTACAAAGCAATGCTCAATGAAAATTTACAGAGCATAAATATTATAAATTAACTGATTTAAAATATGGTTTCTTCGCTACACAGGAATTACCATGTTTCAAAAACCGAAGCTAAAAAATTCAAATTTAATTATATAATTAAATTAAAAGAATTAGTTCTGTTTCATCTTCAAGCGAATTTTGGAATAACTATATATATATATATATATATATATATATATATATATATATATATATATATGTATGTGTATGTGTGTGTGTGTGTGTGTTGTTGGAACACCCTTTATATTCATGCAAACAGAAGGACTTTCACATTCTGCAAAGCGGAATATTGTTCACCTTGCCAAAAATGTCTCCTTAAAACTCAGTACAACCCCACGAAACAATGGTTTATATCTATAAATTTTCTGTCCGCCTACATTTCTAAGTTGTAACTTACACATATTCAAATTCAGACACAAGCAATGGTTACAAATGCAGAGATTCGAATTCGTCCGAATATACACACAAATCAAACAGGCACTTGAAGGACAAAAAGAATTGAAATTGTCACCCAAAAAAAGTCGGTAAATCTTTTGCCATTAACGTACAATGTTACACAGAACGAAATATAAATATCGTTTTATATGTTTTTGGAAGAAAAAAAAATCAATAAAATTTCGACGTTTTACGTTTCTCTCACTAAGCGGAAATGTGTTTACATTCATTTGGTTTGCCAACTTTTAAGCGAAAGCGTTTACTGGTTAATAGAAGATGAGAAAATTGTGTAGGTGGTAATTTCCACGCACACACATGCACACATACACAATCACACATACATACATATATACATACATACATATACACTGGCATCTTCGAGTTGATGTAATTGTTACCAAGCTTGTTTCAGTAGATCAATTACGACTGACTAGAGAGATCGATCTCCACTTAGTGCGCCATACTATCGGCCTTGTGCCACATCTATGCTAGGTTTAGAAAACCGCTTTACATATATATGGCATTACATTTTATCATTTACTTCAAGTCTCTCTTATTGCTCACTCGCTCCGTCCATGGAATTCTCAGTATCCTTCTATATAACCCAGTATTAAAGAAAATTAAAAAAAAAAAAACTGGGATGTCAATTCAAACAACGTTTATCCTATATTGATCGGCAAAGGTTTTTCGTGGCCGAGTTGGTGAAAGTATGTCTGGTCTAACGACCGTTTCCTCTGCACAGAAGGGCACATGTTTTTGTTTAATAAGGTTTCTTGAATATTCCTGCCGGTAGATATATATATATATATATATATATATATATATATATATATATATATATATATATATATACAGAGAGAGAGAGAGAGATCAAAGATAGTATGGACACAAAATTGTTGACAGTCAATGTGATATTGAGAGAAAAGACATTTAAGGTAAGCAGTCTTTGCAATAAAGTGCTCGATATGAACGATAGACCATTTATAGGATTAATGTTGCTAAAAGATTGTCACTTAGCTGACTGATGTTACCTTCAGTATCTCGACGTTCAAATTGATAAATACACGGCCCAATGATTCCGCTAGCAAAACAAAATGCACACCAAACAGTGACCTTTTGTGGATGCAATGGCTTTTCTACTATCTTGGATTTTCATCAGCCCAAATGCGGCAACTCTGCTTATTAACGAATCCACCAAGATGAAAATGGTTTTCATCACTAAAGAGAATTTTTTGCGAAAAATCTTTATCGATTTAGCTTTGCTCGTGCACCCAGTTGACGTATATACGGCGCTCCAAATGGTCAACAGGTTTCAGTTTTTGTGTCAATTGAATTTTATAAGCGTGTTGAGACAAATCAGGAACGGATTAAGATTGTAGTGATCGGGAAAACATACTCTTAGGGAGTCAGTTCCACAGAGCGGGTAGAGGGTTAAAAAGTAAGAGGCACAGTTTATGCAGTTATGTGGGGAAGATAACGGTTGTCCCTAGACGGGAATGGGTTAAGATTGTAGTGATCGGGAAAACATACTCTTGGGAGCGAGTTTAACAAAGCGGACAGAGGGTTAAAAAGTAAGAGGCACAGTTTATGCGTTTATGCACAAAGCATTGGCTATTGTAAAATACTTGTTTCATCGACATCCATTTAGTTTTTTTTTTACCTTGATATTGGAAGCTATGAATCACTACTTTTCAAGATTATACACAATTTCTTTGCCAAAAGTTCATCCAATAAAACCCCGAAGAGACACTCAAGGTAGAGGTAACTTATGTGGTGTCCTCCTTCTAAAGAGTCTATGTTGGACTCTTCCGCCTACTATAAGATTAGCAGGAGAGAAGGCCTTGGGGGAACAGTGGACTAGATTGTTCATCTGTTGAACTCTCTGTCTTGAGCGGAGAGGAACCCGAACGAGGCTTTGCCAAACAGCAAAGTTTAGGTAGACAGGCCCTGAATTCGTTTATGCGGGTTCTAAGGGAATATTTATGGCCGAGCCTAAGGGCTCGGAGAACCCACGATAAACTCGGCCTTGTGCCACATACACCCCTCGTTGGGGGGGGGTTTTAAATATAACAGTCGAATAGATTGAACGCCGAGTCAACCGACATACACTCACTAGTCGTGTAATATTCTTCTGTTGTACTTACTGTTTAATACATGATATATCTGTAACTGTTTT